TCGTGTGAGATGGTGACATAGAGGTCCTTCGTGGTTTCGCTCCGCCAGCGCCCGTGTCTTTTGAAAAGGCGGTTCGGGATACCCATGCTGACAACAACTGTTGCTGCCCCTTTGCGGAATAAATGGGTGCCGAGGTGTGTAGGATCGATGCTGGCTGCTTGGAATGCATGCAGGCACCATGTGCGGACAGTGGGGAATGATGGGGCGGTATCCTGCGAGGATGGTGGGGAGTTGCGTCAAAATACACGAATCAACGGGCCTTTGGTATCTGGCCCATACTGTGCCAGCTTGATGAAATGCCTGGTGCACCACACGGGGCAAAATGGTCCGTCAGCCGTGGCGACAGGGACCCATACGCCCTTGCTTTCATGGTCTGTTTTTTAGCGTGGGATTAGTAGCCACATCGCCGATGCCTCGAATTGGATGTCCTCCCACTGGATTGCCACCAGGTCCGAGAAGCGAAGAAAGGCCGAGTACATGAGCAACACGATGAGGCCTTTTTGGTAGGTGCTTGGTTCGCTTGACTGGAGGAAGGGGCCCGCCATTGCCTCGACTTGATGAAGGGAGACAGGCTCTTTCACTCGTGTTGGCCGCGGGCAGTGTCATTTGGCGTACTCTCGGACTTGCGTCGTGAAGGGGCCGTTCGCTGGATTGGCCAACCTTGTCATTCGACGGGCAAAGCTGACTGCTGCGCATGTGTGCTGTGCGTTGGAGACTGTGGCCTTGTGGTTGATCGCGCGCACTAAGTAGAGTGCTAGTGTTAGGTCCGCAGCGAGCAGGAAATCCACCTTGGCCTTCATGCAAAAACTGCGAAACTTCTCCATGTATGGTTCGTATTTGTTGATTGTTGATTCCGATCGTGTCTTGGCTGTCATATGAAGTAGCTGGTGATGCAATCTTGGAAGCATATCTGTAATCATAGGATACAAGAATGGTACATCAAGTTTTGTAGTTGACTTTCAATGCTAGGACTGACTGGAAGACCAGCACCCGAGAATGCACGTTGATGTGAGCCCGCGTGCAAACATTGACTACCACTAGCAAGATAGAGGGTGGAGGAGATGCCGGTTGCCCATGTGTGTGGGGAGGGCCGGATTAGGGGCCACCAAGCGGCGCCCGTCCATTCGGGAATGACTAGCGTCAGCGTGGCGTTCGTGCGTGCGGCATGGTGCAGGGTCGCTGGGATGAGGCTTGGCGGCGGGAATGCTAAGCCGTGCTCTGATCCCCAATCGAGTGAGAATGCATGATGGCAGTTGCACGTGGGTGCGGATGCTTTGAGCAAAAGCGCGAGAGCTGTGCGTTGTTGGCGTTCGCGAATAGGTCGATGGTGTGTGCCCCCCAACGCCTTTCCAATAATCGAAACCACGGGAGCCTAAGCGAGTAATCATCGTGATCTTCCAGTTTGGACAGTGCATCTGCATGCGCATTAAGGGCCCGTGGAATCCATTCAATGGCCAACCGGGTTTCGTGCGCCATGCAAATTGCGACGATGGAATTGGAGAGAAGAGTGAGCTCAGGCTGCCTGGAGCCACCTTTGCAAAGAATGAAGAAGACTCCTTGGTTGTCTACTCGAACGAGTACGTGGCGGCCTTGGATCTGGTCCGTGAATGATCGCAGCGCCCATAACACTCCCTCGAGCTCTCGGCATGTGCTCGACGTGGAGAGAAGCTCTATCGGCATGGGACTGCTTGCTTGCGAGCTTCCGCCGGGGAAGGATGAAAGGGTCGCACCCCAGCTGTGCGCGCTAGCGTCGACGTGAATGATCGTATCCAGGCTGTGGGGCATGTGAAATGGAGCCCCGTTAAAACGGTCAAAGTGGTCCAGCCAGAATTGGAGCTCATCGCGAACCTCCGAGGTCAGGGTCACTCGTGCATTCCAGGATGGCGCCTCGTTGATGAGTGCCAATAGTTGATGGCTAAAAGAGCGCGCCGTAGCACCAAGGGCGAGCACCATGGAAGCGAGAATGCCGATGACTCGAGCAACAAGGCGGATTGATACCCGCTGGTTGCGCTCGTACGCGAGAAGCAGCACATGTAGTGCTTATGTGAGTTGCGCCTTTCTCTCCTGACCGACAGTGAATCTTCCGGATGCGGTGTCCAGCTCCATTCCTAGGAAGTGCAATTTTTGAGTCGCGGTCAGGTGCGACTTCTTTGCGTTGATGACGAGCCCCGACTCTCTGAGGTCTCGAATGATTGCGCCACTTGTTAAACGAGCGTCCTGTTCCAGGAATAATATATCATCCACGTAGGGTATGACCCGATTACCTTGCGCTCGCCATTTTCGGGCCAACTGTTTGATCAACTGGATGAAGAGGAAGGGCGCTGTAGCGAGGCCGAACGGCAACGATTTGAAAAAGTAGTCGGTGCCTTCGAAGTCGAAGCCCAGAAATGTCCAGCAAGACGCATGAATATCGATGTGATGATAGCCAGACTTTAAGTCGACCAAGAACATCCAGTCGCCCGACTTTGCCAGTTCAGCGACGCGTAGAAGGCCTTCGTACTTGAATTTGGGAACGATCAGGTATTGATTAACCTTTCGCAAGTCAAGAATGAGGCGGAACTTGTTGCGTTGTTCCACTACGTTGAGTGGGCTGATGCATGTAACGGCAGATGAGCTAGAAGCAATTGCTGCTGCTCCAGACGTGAGCAATTCATGGATTGCAGATCGGGTGAAGTCGTTGTGCTTCGCAACTCCGGCATGATTGTGGTCACGGAACAACGGTGGTGAGAATGCCTTCCAAGGGAGCCAATATCCATTAGCAATGACCGACATGATCAAGGAGCTCTCGCACCAGGAAGCCCACCAAGCGAAAGCCTGTTGGAGACGGCCACCCATGGTGGTGACTTCACGGTCGGTGACTGCGTTTGGTAGGAACTCGTCCTGTTCCCCCGACCATGGAGGCGTGGCGACTGCGATGGGGGTTTTTGTTTCGGGGTGGCAAAGGCAGAGGGTTGAACCAAGATGTTAAATTTCAGGATATGTATCGATGTGCTCGTGTGAGCGAGTGATTCACGCACGATGATGTGCAAATCTTGGGTCCGAAAAAGGAAGTGAGGTTGCTAGTGCGGGTGAGTGAGATGGGGCGAAGAATCAGTTCGATTCAATGGGTATTACTCCTCTTTGTGGGTGCAAAAAATGGGCGCCATTCAAATGAGGCTCCATGCGTGGTACGCGCACGCTTCTTCTTCTAACCCCACCCCCCCCCCCCCCCCCCCCTTTTTTATATATATATATTTTATCCCACTCCACGAGAAGTTCCCCATAGAGGGCCTTTGAGTATTTCCTGGGTTTGGGCCAATTTCAATGGCTCGCGCCACCGGGGCAGGCCATCTCTTTCCCTCTCTCTCTTTCTCACTCCCTCTCTCTCTCTCTCTCTCTCTCTCTCGCTCTATCTCTTGCTTCCTCGTTCCTTTTTTCATTCTCAAGGCATGATAGCCCAATGGCTTGGTAGCGACAAGCAGTATTGTCCAATGTGGACTCCCTATGCCTTGCCATGCTAAGTAAGCATTGTAGCTTTCTCGTACTATCGGGTCGGTCATTGCCTTCCCTTGCCCTTCTCTCTCTCTCTCTTTTTTTTTTTTTTTTTTTTTTTTTTTTTTTTTTAAATGACATAACTTGTCATAAGGACTAGTTCTCCAAGGCCCATGGCCTGAGCAACATTCCATTATAAATAGAAATACAAATTCATAAGCCACCCGGGCTTTGCGTTAAAATGCACACACACACACACACACATACACACACATACACACACACACACACACACACACACGCGCACGCGTGCACACACACACACACACACACACACACACACACACACACACACACACACACACACACACACACACACACACACACACACACATACACACACATACACACACACACACACACACACACACACACACACACACACACACACACACACACACACACACACACACACACACACACACACACACACACACACACACACACACACACACACACACACACACACACACACACACACACACACACACACACACACACACACACACACACACACACACACACACACACACACACACACACACACACACACACACACACACACACACACACACACACACACACACACACACATACAGACACACACACACACACACACACACACACACACACACACACACACACACACACACACACACACACACACACACAAGATCCATCGCCCTCCGCTTTGGGGGGGCGCGCGATCCTCCCGCATCAGCAGCAGTGATGGCGACGAAGTCGTCATCATTGGTGACTGCAGGCCCATGAGCCTGCTCGTGGGATGCGCGTAGCTGGGGCGCGCGCGAGCGTGTGCCGCTGCCCTCGCCGAGCAGCACGTCCACCCCAGTTTGGGGCCACTCGGCGTTTTCCTCGGTGGGGCGTTTTCGCTTCTCCACGCCGGTTTCCCGGGTCGATTTTTCAAGCCCCGACGACGGCCGAGGAGTTGCGTCCTTAGCCCCGGGGCTATTGTTGTTCGTCGGCGCCATAGTAGAAAGGTTGCGGTCGAGGATGTCGGAGAGGAGCGTCGAGGGAGAAGTGAAGCGAGGAAGGCTCTTAGTCTTCGCCAGATTGGACAAAAAAATCCGAGAACTTGAAAACTGAAAGTTTGAAATGAAAAACGTGGGTGAAGGCCAAATGGCCTTCGCCCGCTCTTTTATACCAAAAAGAGGGGAAGTAGCGGTTTGCCGAAGCATTTTGCTTCGGTACAAATATTTTCGCTATTCACAATACACAATTTTAGAATGTGTTACACACTTTCAAAATTTTACATTTTCATTTATGCATATTTCTGTTTTCCAGTTGCTCGGGGAGTATATTGCCTTGAACCCCACATTCCTTTTCCACCCTCCTCTGCGTTGAACATGAAAACTTCACTCAATCAGGATCCTACATTATTCACAGTCGAACCCAGACTTGACGCAAACATCAACATGTCCGCGAGCGCGTCCACATGCCACCATGTACACCTACTCGCAAAGCAAAAACTTGTTCAGCAGCATGACCTTCTTGTTCACATATGACTTGCACACATGCACCACCCGCTTAATGCACTCCACGTCCACCGCTGCGTAGCGTGTGGTGACCCTCCCCAGTATTAGCTGCACACATGTTGTCATGGGGCACACGCCCGCCGCCTCATAGTACTTCACATAGGCGTACCTCCCCTCCTTCTCGTCCGCGTCCGTTGCTCGGAACACGCACATGCATCGTGCGTACCACTCCTTGTCCTCCGAGGTCTTCACTGCAACGTCAGAAAACCACTTCTCGGACGGGCTGGCCTTGACAAACGTGCCCTTTGCGACAAGCTTTCCACCATGTGTACGCGGAATGGCCACTGCCGTGTGTACCTTAACATGTGTGGGACATATGAAGCTCAGTGCTGGATGAAACACAGACTACCGTCACAACCCCCCTGCTGTGATAAATCGGATCCAACCCAACCGTACTTGGTTGGGTCCCCGCAATGTCCAACGGAGAGCAAATGTGCTCACCTTGATCGCTGTGTCCGTCACTCCAGCTGCTGCCACGCACCAACCGAGCTCCTTCATGTCTGATCCTAGGGCCTCCTTATACACCCACAACACTGCGTCCTCCTCGTCGCTAACGTCCGCACTCCTCGACCTCCGCGTCAGGACGTACGTTTGATGCCTCACAGCCTGTCAGGAAGGACAAACACAGAATTCACAAAACAGTACCACTTAAGCACCCCTGTGAACCACAAATCAGCAGTCACATGCATTTCGCGTATTTCACCAACACACACCCAGCCAACAATGACGAGCAACCCCAACCCCGGACAATGCACTATAGACACCTTCACTGTGGCCACGTGCGACGCCGTCCGACAGTTATTACGGTAACCCTAAACCTTTTGCCACGCCAATTCGGCAAGCTCACCTCACGCAAGGCACTGACGTACTGCCGTCCTCCCCCAGCCAGGGCCGCCACCTCCCGCGTAATCTCCCTCTGCACCTCCTCCTCCACGATGCGTCGGGGTATGTCCTTTCAGTTACTCCCGCGCACAGGGACCTTCACTGTGCCCTTGTGAGTGTGCTCCCAGAGGTTTGTCGAGTACTCGTACGGCATCCCGTGGAGCGTGACGCCGTCAATGAGATGTACGATCTGGTGCACCTTCGATAAGTTCCACGCAGACGCTTGCGACTGAAAAGCGTCCTTCACTGCGTCCAGCATCCTGCAACATGTCATCCAGTCATTCCATGGTTATGTTCCACGTTAATCTGCCTGTAAACTGGCAAATGCGTTTCCTCAGTGCAACGACGTCACACATGCGTAGAAACGTCCGCCCCAGTGCGTCCACACCACATTCACACCCCACAGCTACCCTCCCACACATCTGGACGCAACCATCCATCCCACTCACATGTACGCGTTCAGTCGCACGTCACTGAGTGTCCTCTCGGTGTGCTTGTTCACGCCGAGCAGCGACTTGTAGAACACTGCGTACCTCCTGAACGCCCTCACCTCCTTGAACCGTTGCTCCTTCTCCTCTGGCTCGCACCCTTCCATGTTGTCCGCTATGAGTATCGGCATCACTTGCATCATGCCCCTGTTCTCGAACGCCGCGTAGTTCGCCCGTGACTTGAACCACGAACTTCCACCCGGGATCCTGACAACCGTGGTGCGCGTGTCCTTCTGCTCTTTCTTGCGCCTGCACATGGACAACCCACAAGCCGTGCGTATAGCGGTCGTTTCATTACAAGTCCAATGCAGGCACCACACGCATTCACCACCCACCTCTCCAGTTCTCCCCTCTCCGGCTTGCTGAGGGGAGAAATGAACTCGTCCACCATGTGTCCAAGGAACCCTCCGTCCAACACATGCAGCACGTCCACCACGCATGCCAGGAATACGTTCCCCCAGGTCGTATCAGAGAAATTCCACCTCTCCAATACCGTCTGCCATCAAAGCAACACCAGTAGGATACATCAAACATAAATTCCTACCGACTGAGAAAGACACGACATACTTATGGCACAGCTCAACACGGGCCAAAAACTATGCTGACCTGCACGGGGTGTGTCGACCAACGCCTCCTGATCTTGTCAGCCTCATCTTTCGTGGATGCGTTTTGCATCCACGAAACAACCTTCCGGTGTAGTTCCACTGTCCTGAGTGTCGTTTCTGCCTTGAGGTCGGACAGACTCGTCTTCTTGATGTAGCATGAGCTGCAAGGCCTGTGTGAACCCTGCTGCATTGTCGCCGTGCACCGGGACGACTCGGGGTAGTCCCCAACCTCTGGAAACAAGGATGGGTAAGCCTTCAGCACTTGGCCAGATTCACCTGTCACACATATGAACTTCAGCTCAGAACTGCAGAAGCCAATGCACGACTCAACATCAATGCATCTCCATCCTCACTTCCATGACAGAAAGGACCAACGTGTCGTCACCGACTCACCCTCGGTGCTCTCTCAACAGCGGATCAAATATAGTTGCCATCGCCTCTTGGAACACACGTGTCTTCTCTATGGACGTCGCCCAGTTAGGTGGGAAAGGCTACACCCCAGCCAGAACGTGGCCTGGCTCCAGCCATCTCAGTACCTCTGGGATGTTGAACAGACTTATAAGAACTGTCCACGCTTGTAGCCTCCCGTTGGCACTCGCGTGCATATTGTCGCTGTACACAATCACCCCCAGAATGATGCCCTTCTACTCCGGCCGGCTCGCCTGCACACGTCATCCCGGAGTATCCGAATTCACAAACTGCATGCGTGATGAGTGAGTGCTAAAAAAAAACCCCTTAACGTGTTTACTGTTTCGGGACATACACGGTACCCTGGTCCGCTTTCACTCACGTGAGCCTTTTCCATCCATACCCCGGTGTCGGGAGTGCTGAAATGCCTCTTTCCCTTGCTGTCCTCTTTCTCTCTGCGCGGCTCCGTCACGAAGCCCTCTGTGTGTACGAACATCCACACCAGCTTCTGCACCAACTGTAAAGGGAAGTAGCATACAAGAACTGCGTTAGGCTTTGCCTCAGGCCCACCGTTACGCCGACTCGGTCACCCAACGACCATCACACCCCATGGAACGTGCCACATTCTCACCAGCTCCGTGTTCCTGAAATGAAGCGGGAGGTTTGCCATCTTTCCACCCGGGCCGTAGCATTTAATGACGGTCGTCTGCCACGGCACTAGATCGGGAGGAGCCATCAACTTGCCGAACCGCCTCAAGTCGACAAAGTTCATCCACCGCCGTACATCTCGCTCCGAGAATCGGGGGTTTGCGAATATGTTGAGCAATTTGTTAACCTCCCTTCTCGAAAGATCTGCGTCACGGAAAAATATGTACAACTCAGTGAGAGTGTCGAACCCGTCGTCAATACTACTTATGTCGCTCTCCGCATCTTCCTCATCCGCTATCGCATCAGCGTGTGGTTCCTCAGTTACCACATGCTGGCGTGCACGGTCGCTGGCATCTCCAACCGCGTCGGTTTGCCGATACCGGACAGGTGAAGGAGGGCGCTCGCCCCGCATGGCTCGTACTGCCTCTCGGTACGCCTCCACGAGCCGCTCCGCCCTAGCGTGGTTAATCTTACGTCTGCATCGTTTGTTGCCCGACAAGTGAGATTGCAGCGTATTATCATCCACGTGCTCGGCTCCGCACGCCTCGCAGGCATTGCCCAACATCGCCACAGCGGTTAAGAGGAAACCCTAACTCCACTCGTAGTACAACTGCCAGAGCACCACCAATGTAGTGTAATGCACATGGTGTGTCCACGCCCGAGTGGCGGGACAACCAGTGTACGGTTCATCTCGTCAGTACGCTTGTCTGCGTTGGGCAGTGCTGATTGTGTCTAACCTAAACGTACGCGCAGCACCCGGTGCGACGAGGTTGGGCTTGTGACGCCATCATTTTGGACTTCGGGTGCCGGTCGGTCCCCTTCGGTTTATACATATGACATTTCCAATGGTGCAAAACCGGTTGGCGCTAAAAGTCTCTCTAAAACATATCCTTCAAGAACAACATATGTTCCAAATAATTAAAACATGTTATTTGCCACCACCTGAAACTAGCCGATCTTCCCGTCATTCCAGAGTAATCAATAAAACAAACCACCCATTATAAGACAGCCTCTGCACCCACCCCAGTTCCAGCATCCCCACACCAATTGTGTTGGCTGACCTATATACAACTTAGGTACGTGGGTTGCTCACGTAACCACGCCCTCAACCGACCGCCATTAATCAGTGGCCAAATAGCTGCTGCTGGACAAGCCCCACCGTAAAGTGTGGATTCCTTATGGTGCTCAACAGCCTGTTGACATCCCTGTTTGACAGTCCCGCTGTGTGGCAACGGCTGATGAGGTTATTCAGCTCTCGCAAACCGACTACTAACGAACTATCATCGCCCGTCGCAATTCCTTCGTCATCTGCACGCGCATCATTTGCCAAATCGCCGATCGGCCCACGAAATGCCCGCTTTGGTGCCGTGAGTCCGCCGCAGTACACGCTGTGTGTTTGGTGCATGACCAGTGATAAGTGATCCATTAGTGCGGCGCCACATCTTACGCACATGATGGTCGACATGGGTGCTTATGCCGTATATAGCCGCAGCGGCCTTAGGTAAAACTTAGCACTCCGCGTGAGGGGAGTGGGCCTACTCTCAACTCAGTAACGAACGCACACGCACCTGGAGTTGTAAACACTAGAGAAACGCGCATAGCCGTATCCACAATGCGTAGACGTGTGTGTTAGATCCCTCAATGACGTTTCCCTGTAGGAGGACCACAGCACAAATGTCATCAGAACAGTTGTCGATTTCGTTTGTTATCTCGTATGAGAACACACCCCGTATTACCGGTGGTTAAGTTGGATATCATGTTCGTGCATGTGGCAATCACTGTACCACATTGTACACAGACCGTATGCCTCAAATATAAACGTATAATGCATCCTCGCCAATTACATCCTCGCAACTATGTAAGGTGTAAATTCACATCCGTGTTTACGGTCAACCAATTGCTCGCCACACTGTTGGTTTGCCCAACCACATAGATGGGGCGACTCTCTGTCCAGAACCGACGCTGCCATGTGGACACTACCTAACCTCATCCACACAGTGGACGCAATTTCCGTCCAGGACAAATCGGTGTCCACCAACTGTGCTAGTGACGTGTCACATGTCGCACCATTGGACTGGACTCGGATAGTGTCCGTGAGGTGGACACTCAGGTGTCCACCTGCTCGCACACCTCCGTCACCCCTCACACAGACCGGAGCGTCCTATAACCCTACGTCCTCCCTTTCTGTCTAGCATACGCGCGGCCGCCATGGCCGCATTAGTGCAGCTTCTAGAGGCATTTCAGGCCCACCCCGATGACGTGTTCTGCTTTGTGGAGACTCCGCTGCTCGCGACAACGCTGCCGTTCAGCAGTAACTTCGACCCCGAATTGGGGTACACGCCAAAATGTGAGCTGCGCGTGTGTATTCTGTTCAACGCATCGGGGAGTATGGGCATACGTCCGACAGTAGTGAGGCGACGCAAATGCGCTCGCCAGTACCGTCACCGCCTGCGAGAGGGTGATCCAGTGCATCTTCGTCAGACGAAGATCGGGGTGTTGTCCACCGAGGTATGTCTAATCGTCTTGCTGATCCTGTGATAAGTGCATGTCCGGACGTCTGTGGCGCCAATACTCACAATCCCCTTACCCTTTACTTGACGCAGTTCTTCAGCGAGTACATGGACAACTTCGATGGAGACAGGCTGGCCTACAACAAGAGGGCTCTTGTTCTCGTCTCAGGCACGATGCATCGCTCGCTGGACCAGTCGTGAAAGGAAGGCCGTTCTCTTTGGGTTTTGCGTGCACAAGCTATCCAACACCCTCATTGTTAACCTCAGTGGTGTCGTGGACCCAGTCAACTTTCCATGGTTCAACGGTCTTGTCGAAATGTTCAAGACCATCTTCTGTAGCATCTACTTGGCCTTCGTTACCGGGGACGCCGATTGGCGTGCCAGTGGGTTAATGCCTCTTATTCTTTACGAGAACCTGCTAGTCTGGGTGGGAAGGTCCTGGCGTCAAACCCTGGCTTGGGCGGTGCATCACAGCTGGGCCCGGTCAGGCGTTATGCCCCTGGCGTGGCGCACTCTCCTCCACCTAACTACATACCCCCCTACGGCCGTCAGTCGCGAGCCCCTCATCAAGCAGTTGGTACAGCTGCAGGTCTTTATCGACCGGTTCGCAAAGGGTGCGCCTGGCTTCATGCAGGCTACGGACTATGCCGCTTGTGACGAGCGCTTGCTGTCGTTGATTGGACGTTCTTCGCCCATTGAGGCGTCGATTGCGGGGGGATCAACAGCGCCGGATCCCATACTAGACCCGTGGGACGGCGTCCAATAGGCGGAAGGCAGCCCCTACATCGTCGGTAGGGGAAGGGCGTTCGGCGAGACCCGATAAGCGACGCAAAGTCTCGGACCTGCCTGTGCTGGAGGAACAGGCAGACGCGCCGCCGCCGGAACCCGAGCCTGAGTCGTCGGATGACAACCCGAACGAAGCTCTTCCTCGTGTCAATGCTGCTGTCTACGACGACGTTGAAGAAACTA